AACGTTGATTGCAAAAAAGTTGTATCCCAACAACGCGAACAACTATATCAGATTTTTATAGATATTGTTATATAAATTATTATTGTGGGGATATTTATTTATTTCTCGGTAGGGATTATAAATAAAAATAAACATATAGATATAAATATTGTATATTAAACCGGTGGATGATGCGGGTGGTATCGAGGAGCACCGCCTTCTGCATTTGAGCTTGGAGCGTTCCATCCCGGAGTCTCAGTCGCCACAGATGTTCATAGAGGTCAATGGGATCAACCCATTCGCAGACACGAACGGTCGGTCACCTCGTGAGCCAGGTCCAGATATTTCGTCTTGTTATCTGTTTCGGCTTTCACGAGGTTCTCGTCATATGGGATGGTAATGTCGACCAAAAATACCCGCGACTGTGCCCGGTCCATCAACAAGATATCAGGTTTGTTCGCGAGAATCGACCTGTACGTGATGATGGGCCGGTCCCAATAGAACCTTGTGCGGTCATGGTCGAGCACGGCTTCTGGGTAGTACGGCAGTTTCCGATCCACGAGACCGTATTTCAGAGCGAGCTCGTGGTGTAGGATTCTGACTACTAGGTTGTGTCTATGCAAATAATAAGTTAGAAAGCATGGAACAACCGGAGATAACATGCCGAAGTGACTCCCCGGGATGGCGACAAGCTCGACAGATGTCGACGGTGCCATCCCTTAGAATGTATTTCCGATAGTTTTTCGTCTTAATAACCTGATCCTGTATCGCACAGACAAAACCTTCGGTTTCCCCAAAGCGGTCACCGAAAGGTAGCCAGTTAAGGGAGGCAACAATATCTACGAAAGGTTCGTGCAGAGCCTTGTACAACCTCCCGTGGAGCTCTTTCCCTTCCATATAAGAAAATAATTCATACCATATAATAATTCATTCCATATAAGAAGATGAAGCTTCTTTAAGTCTAAGGACTAAAAGAGTAACAGAGTAATCAGTTATAAAAAAAAAACAAAAAAAAAAGTTACACAATTTTTTTTGTTCGATGTTACTTGGTTTTCGACTTTTCTTTTTCGATTTCCATATGTTTTGCACTATTTCGATATGACCTAGATAGTAGTACCAAACAACACGGAACAATAATACCATACACCCAGCAATTCATTAGTTAGAATTCAACATTTCGCAACTTCAACTTTTTGCGAATTCAACATTTTAGGAATTCAACATTGTGACCCGGGTGGGAAATTCAACTTTTTACGACTTCAACATTTTGGGAATCAACATTTTGCGAATTCAACATTTTAGGAATTCAACATTTCGCAAATTCAACATTGTGGTCCTGAAGGATATAAATATGCACATGATAATTATAAATGCAAACAAAATATTCATACGACTTTTCAGAACAGCACTCACCGTAATCAAGAGTTGTTCACGTAGACATTCATAATGCAGTTCACTAAAGATTAATGATTTATAGCGTTTGCGCGAATACTACACATTATTGAACTAATTGCAGATTTCCTCGCGTTTAATTATGCTTCTAATTCGACGTTTCGAACTTCTTGTAGACTATGTCCTCTGAATATGACTCCGTGGCACAGTTACCAAGGTATTGTCTTTGGCAACGGAGGGTTGTGGGTTCGATTCCTACACGAGAAATATTTGTGACCCACATAATTGTTTCGGATCTGGGTGTTTTTTATCTCACGTGAAATTTATGTATGTAAAACGTCCTTAGAACGCCGGATAATGTTATCCTACAGTAAGGAGGCAATGTTTTCGAAGCTAAGACGAAATTAGATCTTTCTAGGTCTCAGGGACCTCTCAATAATGTCCTTCCACAATATAATCAACATCATCATTATCAGCCGCAAAAAGTCCAGTGTTGAACAAAGGCCTCCTCCTTAGAACGCCACAACGATCGACACTGCCATTTGCAGCCACCGCTTGCCCGCGACTCTTAAGATGTCGTCGGTCTACCTAGAGGGAGGACTTCCGAGGCTTCGTCTTCCGGTTCGAGATCGCCACTTGAGAACTTTTACTCCCATCGGTCATCAGTTCTTCACATTACACAAATATAAAATAGGCACTGAAGTGGTCGAAACATCGGGAATTAAAAGTGGGGAAACTTGGGGAAATAAGCCGTGATTTCGTTTTATTTGAGGCACATCGATACGCAGCCAAGTAAAGAATCAAGCACAGTACGAAGCAAGTGGCTCGAGCGGTTGATTGATCCACTCGGGTCTCCTTTTCGCCCTTTGAAGCGCACGCGTTCCCCTCAAAGAACACGGCCGAGGCTAAGTGTAGATTATCTCGGAATTACTGTGGTCCGACTGGCGCCGGCAGTGGCGCGGCGTCGAATTAATCGTCTTTGTACATACACGTTTTATGAATAGCAAGCGTAGACTTATGTGTTATAAAAATGAGCGTCTGCGTACTGTGTACAATACTGGGATTCATCGCGAATGGTTGAGAACGGTGTACGCTTCACAACCATTCGCTATGAATCCCAGTGATGAATATCAAAATTTCCTAGCCTGGATTTTCAACAAACCTGTTAAAAATTCAGACCTTTTTTATATTTTCAACGCACTCCCGTTGGTACTTAAAAATCGTGAGAAGTTAAACAATAATTGAGTCATTTACATTTGATTGATGATTTGATTACTTTGTAGTTACAATACGAGTATGTACGGCCATTTCTACTACAAAACGCACGTCATTTCTACTACTACAAATGTTTATGTTTTGAAGTAGGCACATGACCCTTTATGGCTCTATAATCCATATTCCTTTACACTTAAATGTTAATATATATAAACGTAATATGTTATAAATTTTAAGCTAATCAATGAGTAAAAGTTCCACAAAAGCATTTTGGTTTCAACCGCTCAATGTAATAATCCATTAGTTTTATTTTTTATATTGTTTCTATAGTGCTCATCGACGATCCTTTAAATTTGTAAAAAAAATGAACGCAGTTTTTCATTATAAATCAATAAAAAACACTAAATTATTACATTATACTGGTATTGTATTGCTTCAACGCCGTGGAAAAGTATTTGTGTGGGCCCCCACAGATTCCGTACCAGCCTGTTTGTCCATGTTGGACATGTCGTATATCATTTCCCTGTGGCATAACCATAGTTATCCGACAATCATAGGGCCATGTTTTTAAATAACAAGTGAAACAGTTACAATAAAACTTCAAATATCTACATTTTCTTATTAATCTTGTATCTCCTTACTCCAAGGTCCAATGCCAATGAAATATGGAACCACATGGGAACTAAACCGAACCGAATGCAAACATTTTTAAAATCGGTTTATAAACTACGGAGTTCTAAGGTAAAAAACAACCAAACTGTGAACTTCTTCCCCTTTTTGAAGTCTGTCGAAAATAAATATTCAAATACACATGACATAAGTACCCTTTGTGACTGTCCTTTTTGACATAAGTATGTATCATTACATCACTACATAGTATAAAACAAAGTGGTCCGCTATCTGTCTGTCCCTGTGTATGCTTAGATCTTTAAATCTACGTAACAAATCTTGATGCGGCTTTTTTCCTAGATAGAGCGATTCAAGAAGGTTTATATGTATAAATACAATGCACCTGTGCGAAGCCGGAGGGGGTCGCTAGTTATTTTTATAAACCTGGAGCGTCAGTCGCGTAACCCGGACGTAATTCTCGCAGCGGCAAAAAACTTAATCCATTTTTCTACAAATTTTAAATCCATCTTAAATGAATAGAACAGGCTGAACAGCACTATAAAAATAATATTTTGTGAAACCAGTTTTAGAAACCGGACCTGAGATCGGACGTCGCTAATCGAAACGCAAATCGCAATATTCGCCAGTGTTTGATACACGTAAACCTAAATAAATTCGTTGCTTTTCAAGAGAATTAAAAATGCCAAAATAAAATAAAACATTAAAGAACCGCTTCAACTACTAGGTTACCTCAAATTAATAACAAAATGTATGACATTTAAAATACTCCGTGATCATGATCAAGCAATTAGCATTTGTTAGAAGCAAACGACGACCAGTCGCTAACTATACATGAATGCAAATAATTCAATATTTTCTTACACAATTAGCGAAAAAGATGAGACCGCATTATGATGACCTGTGTATATTGTATAATGTGGAATGACATACACAACACGAGGTAAAACTACACTGAAACTGAGGCATTCGAAACTATGCCAATTCATGATTTTTAGACGCCACGTATGGACATGCATCTTTATTAATTAAATGTATTATTATATTTTGAGTAATACTAGAATTAAGCTGTGTATAATGGCTGGCTCCATTCGCAACTGTCACAAATAGTATGACCCCGCAAGCCTCGTAGAGCTTACAGCTGGAATATAGCCGTAATGAGCCGCGTCGAATGAGCTCCCTCATTAATTCCAACGTAACAAAAAGCGAGGATCACCTTTGAACGCTCAATATGACGCCACATTAAGCCAAAAAGCGTTCCAGCGTTGTGGCCCAGTAATGGTGTGTACACTTCGCTAAATATCTCTGAGTAAAATTTGGACAGTTACAAGATGTGAATGCTACAAGATGTGTTGCAGTGGCAACACATTGGTGAACCTTAGGCACCGAGTACAGTAGCGACAATGAACTTCTGGACGATGTATTAGATACGTCATCAGTCCACGTATACGATTAACTAAGTTCTTTGAAGGAATTATAGAGTTTATAGCACGTACCTTTCAACTGCGGAAGGGTTATGCAGCAGTTTCAGCTATTGCATGAAGGGGCGGCGCGTCCAGGGAAGTAGCACGGCGTCATATAAGACCGGCGTTAAGTGGAAGTATTAAACGTTCGCGTTTTGTCTGGTGAGTGACGAAACAGCTTTTCACTCACCAGACGACTTTTAAAGCTCCATGCTTTTAAAGGTTGTCAACGCATCAAATCCTCGGGTGTTCTAGATGTCCACGGGCCAGGTTATTCAGTTATCAGTAATTATTCATCCCTCCTTCTTCCGCCTTCTTGCCCACATGCTCGCAATCACCATTGCTGTGCTACTCCAGGGGTAAATGCAATCGAAAAATAAAAAACCATTATGGACAAAACGATCCGTGTAATAAAACTTACGGGAACGATACGATATTACAACTTGACAAAAAGACACCACTAGAAATTTACGCATGCACAATCGCGTTGACTCCACTCGGCATAGGGCTCGTGTTCAGGGTATGGCACTTGCAGCACCGCCAGCCGTTGGTGCTAGGCACCAGGCACCCACTGCTCGCGCATTCCAGGTGGTAATGGGAAGCGCAAAGGCTGCACTTGATTGAGGCGCATCCGGACATTGTACGTTTGCAGTGAGCACAATCCATTCTCACCAATGCTTCGTTATGAATTCTTAAGTCGGTCGGTGAATTGGAAACCAAACGATCGTCCCCCGGAGGTTACAGTTTCTAGTGTTATAAATTATGTTTTCACGGACGATTCTAAATTTGGGGCCGATATTTTCTTTTATGAATAATTTTCAATTTTTATAGTGAATTTTACTGGAGATATTTTTTATGTGACAGTCAAATTAGCAACTGATTTGAAATGTTAATTGAAAGAGCTACGTTGAAAATTCTTCTATGTTCCATTTTCGCTGTTTAAATATTTGAATTTTTTTTGGTCGCCAGCGATATAACAAAACTCCTTTAACTGCAAGAAGAATTACCTTTAATACCTTTTTTGACATTAAAAAAAAAATATTTTCTAAAGCTTTTCACAAAAGTCACAATGGCTAAAGGCTGAATGGAAAAATGCTCCCCAATTTGTTCTTCACTTTGTATTTTGCCCTCGCTTTTAATCGAAACTAGTGGAAGTGGTGGTGAGAGCAGTCACTTTGCGTTGCTTTATCAGAATCACATCGATTTAAGTACAGCTTTAAAATGTATAGACTCCATCGATCACTTTTGGCAAGTTGAAGATCGGAATAATTTCATAATTTCGTTTGGATGTAGTCCATTGAGCGTTTATAAATTTGCTCAAAGTGCATGTGACGGAGGGAGGAAAAGTTTACATTATCTGAATAACCAAATAAAAAAGGGTATAAAATTTATTCATATACAATTTTTATAAGCAAAAATATTCCTTAATCTTACATCAGTAATGGTAAATGTTTTATTTTTTTTATTTCCTACAAAATACACTACTAAATTATAAAATAAAATAGGGTAAAAGATAAAAATTCTGTCTCGGAAATTCTTTAAAACAACTTGAAGCCATTAGCTTCCGTTTAATGGCTTAATTTATTACAAATAGTAAGTAATTAAAATTTTAAATAAATAAAATTTGAACAAAAACTTTAGGTGATATTAATAAATAAAATAATTATGATTAATTGTTAAACATTACATTTTATTATTACATTTACTACATTTTATTATTCTATCAATTTTTAAATACCTAGTCAACTAAATATTTATTCTCTGTGATCCTTTGACAGGTCCGGTCAGGGTACATCAAATGTGACATTTAAGTTTTTAATATTCCAATACAATTTTTATGAGAATATTATAAAATTAAAAAATATTAAATATGTATGCGTGATTTGTTAAAACGCTTCGTGAAACATCTATAACGTATAGGCAAGTAAAATATCACTCTGCATAAGCTGAATTATTTTATCGGATCCAAGAACTTCTTTAAAGGCCTTTGTCCTATGAGTAAATAATGTAATCCTGTTTTACGCTCATCCAAAATTTGTATTTCTGATATCTCATCCCGAGAACAAATAATGGATATTCAAATTAATACTGATTTAATTCGGTCCGTAAATAAACTATGAGTGCGAGACACTCAAAAGGTTTTTGATTAAAGTCATCATCCATTGTTATATCCTTTCCAACATACAAACAATTTTGAATATCGTTTTACAACGATAATGGGGGACAATCTTTTCATACTTTTTCTACATATTTTAATATCTAATTCTTATTTTTATCACTACATAGTATAAAACAAAGTCGTCTCTCCGCCTGTCCCTATGTATGCTTAGATCTTTAACACTACGCATCGAATCTGGATGCGGTTTTGTTGACTAGATGTAGTAGTGATTCAAAAGGAAGTTTTATATGTATAGTACATTGCACCCGCGCGAAGCCGGGCCGGGTCGCTAGTATAATATAATTGATAAATATGTACATATCTCAAATTTCGGATTTCTTAATCTATTGAATGGAATGTTGATGATGGAGCATAAACTCTTCTATTTACGCGCACGTGCTTGTTCCAGACGCACAAGCGAGGGACCGGGATCAGGGGCCCGGGTGCTGCGCTCCACCCCGGATTGGACGGACTCCGCCGTCAGCGGGGAGCACCTCTGGTCGCCCACTTCCGTATCCGGCGACTGCTGCTACGTGGGTGACTCGGACTGCCAGGTATGCCGCCTCGTTCCCTTTCGGCCGGCCCCCCGGAAGCAGTCAATGACGATAATGGACCGCCGATTGACTAATGTCCTCGCTGTGCGGGTAACGTTTAGCAACCGGAGAATGTGCTATACTTCAACGTTCGACGGTGACATGACGAGAGTACGACGGAAACGTAACGGTGAACTTTGTAAAGAGTAGCTAAGGAATAATCATTGGGTGTTTAGTTTGATTCAGAAAAGAAGACCTGTCTACTACATCTTGTTTAGTTCCCTCTTGATGCATAAACATGGTTGCAGACATTAAAAGCGCTTGATTAAATATCGGGATCTTGAATAATTCGGGATGGTATCAGGTTTTTTATACAAACACATTAAATCGTTAACTCATAGCGCCAACCTGTTATTCTAACCTTGTTCAGTATGACACTAGTGACTCGGTTGGCGCCGTTACTAAGCTTCGGAGTCGGGGGTCGTGGGTTTGATTTCCACACGGGACAAGTATTTTTGTGACCCACAGAATTGCTCCGGATCAGGTAGGCGGCTGATCGTAAAAATCTTTTTTTATTTGAAAAAGTGGCAAAGGAGCTGGTGATTCACCTGATGTTAAGTGATAACCGTCGCCCATGGTAATTTGCAACACCCGTAGGGTTGCAAACGCCTTATCACCTTTAAATTAAGTGGGCCCCGGTTACCTCACTAACCAGACGAAACGCAGAAGTGTAACACTTCTACTCTACGCGGGTCTTTTGTGAGGTCGTGGTACTTACGAGGACTGACCTGCCCATTCGTGCAACAGTGAACACTGTTGCATGGTCCTGCCACAAATAAAACATTGCCAAAACAGCTTGGAACATGTTCACATGTAGTGCCGCTCCCATCTAGGTGGCATAAGGGGAGGAGGATGATGTTCCATATAACTCCTTACAATATACAAAAACACAAAAAAAGTGTAATACAATCATTTTAATAAAATTCATCAAATGGATATAACGAACTATTGGAATTTTTTAACTTTGAATTGTTTACTTTGAAGATTATTTGCGGTTGGCAAACATCTAGGCAAACTAAATCGTTTGTACGGATATTCAAGAAGAGCTTACTAACAGGGCATTCTCATATAAATAATTTGAAGGAAACCAAGAATTTTTCTTTGAATTATATGCATTCAGTTAAATAAAAGTATCATCATTATTTTTCATTCTTTGAGTCCAAGTACGATCCTGAGTACGATCCTGACATCATGTATCCATCGACTTCCCGCATATTTGCATACTAATAAGTATACTGTGTACTGAAAAGTAATGTATATGTAATATGTAACTTGAAGTGACAAAACATGTATGGGTAAATTTTATTTACGCCGTTTGTTAGGCGTGTGGCAGAAGATTTAATTACTCTCGCGCTCAAAATAATAAGAGATTTTTTATTACATTTTAATGAATATCATTATTCAAAGTACTATGAGAGGCATATTTTTCATATAATTACGCATAGTAAGTTGAAACGATTCTTGAGAAACTCATATTCACGTTGTTATGGTACCGAAACGTCGTTGAATGATCATAAAATCGCACATTTATAATAACATAAGTATGCACATAAGACTAGAGCTATATATATATATATATATATATATATATATATATATATATATATATATATATATAGGTATAGAACTTACGGCTCGATATAATGAAGAGACGTGGTCTTATTGAATTTAGGTCGCAAGTGAAGTTGATATTTGTAAAGATTTACTTTATCGTGTTAGATCGGTTCCGATCAGTGGTCTGATATTCGTTCTCAATATTATTTTCCATCAATTTATTTCTCTCACACTTGACCGAACAATAAGTTATCACCACATAGTGGGCGGTAAACATTTACACCGCTAGAATATCTAAATATTTAAGATATATTAAAAAAAGACTTCATCCGCGTGGAATTATACTTTATATACCTGTATTTTGTATTTTGTATTAACTGATGTTTGAGCTTTCAGTCCAGAGACTATTAAAGCTTCATCTGACGCAGAACCGGTGGGCTAGCCAGAACCCACGGGTTTGGGCCCTCCGCTGTGGGTAGGGCCGCGCATGTGCTCATGCGTGCGTTTAACTACGGCATGTCATCTAAGGGTCATCGAAGTAGCGGTGCGGACCGAGACCCCGATGGCCGTCGACTGTGTTTTTAGCTAATCGGTGGCTGGGGGCGGTGAGAACCGCCCTGGAACGCGGGTGTACCTTGTGTACGCGTTGTGTTGATCTCGCCGCGCTCGGAGGCGAGGGCGAACTAATGTGTTTGTTGCTACACTAACTGTGTGTGTAGTGTTATCCGGCGGGACCTCCGACGGTGGGTCCGAATTTATATACCTATTAAAATAAATAGAGTTTCTAAAATAAAAGTAGCCTAAGTTACTCCTTATTACATCTATCTGCCGGTGAAATCCCGCCAAAATCAGTTCGTTTCAGAGATTAGCCGAAACAAACAGACAGACAGACATACAAAAATTGTAAAAAATGTTATTTTGGTGTAAGTAACGTGCATACATCGTAAACAGCGGTTATTTGAATATTACAAACAGACACTCCAATTTTATTTATCTGTATAGATTAATTACCGCTATGAGGTATGAAGACGACCAATGCTCATTAAGGGTCTACGTTTTATGTTTATGTTGTATCTGAAGTTAGCGCTTTAAGTCCATAGACTATAAAGCTTCATCGAACGCAGGACCAGTGGGCTAGCCCGAACCGACGGGTTTGAGCCCTCCACAGTGGGTAGGTAGGTGGTTCATGAAATTGCTAACATGTTTCAAGTGTTTGCTTAAGATCTTTATGGTTTGTGTCTCTCCACCATTCGTTTTCAATTTAACCGCCTAAATATTCAACGCTAAATTGTACTGGCGTTGAACTGTCAGAATGGTATCTGCGAGCGAAATGAATAATGGTCTGGAGCTCCCCACCCTACGATGAACAATCGCGAACTGACGCTCATTTCTGTTAAGCCCTGTCATCCGTATACTTTTATTGTGGCAGCCGCTCGCGAACTATTCGAAGGGCGGACGCGTCACAAATTGAATTACCCTGTGACCGTGCTTATTCCATTCATTGCGGAGAAATTACAATTTCCCGAACAGCAATTACCGACCTCCTACCCATTATGCGCACGGTGGACGTGTCGTTAGTTGAATGTAAGATTAATGAGCGGTGCCGTGGCGATGACCCGTCACTGTCGATGTAACAAAAGGCCCCCCAGCTTCGGGCTTACGGTGGCAATCGTTGGCTAATCGCCGCCGTCCTTGCCGACGAATCGACCTACGTTTGTTCGTTCGATTGCCGCGACACGAGCTCATTCGAGTGGAATTAATTTTTGTTAATGTCGAACTAGTGCCATGATAGCTCAGTGTCTGGGCCATAGACCAATATACTGTTACTGGTCCGGGCGCTAGCTTTTAATTCAATGTATTCGAGCTACATGAGTACAAACCCCGGTGCCGGTACCAATTATATAGTTAATTTTAAGCGCTGACTTATCACGTAGTCAGTGGTGAAGGAAAACGTGAGGACTCCTGCATGTTTGTGAAATAATGACACAAAATATTTAGAGGATATGTGGAGTCCGCCTATCCGCCGTAGGGTCGCATGGTAGACTTTGCCCAAAAACAACTTTTACTGCACGCATCAGCACATGCGCGGCCCTACCCACAGCGGAGGGCCCAAACCCGTGGGTTCTGGCTAGCCTACCGGTTCTGCGTCAGATTAAGCTTTAATAGTCTCGGGACTGAAAGTAAAAACATCAGTTAATACAACTTTTACTTACTTTGGTTTCAAACTTTACACCAGTTCGATTCTTTCGAATGTGAAATTTAAATGTTATCGATTGATTTTTTACCCGAATGCGGAGGATAGTATTCTTTTATGTATAATTCTTTGGCACGCTCTACAACCTTTTGACGTATTTTAACATATGAGGAAGATTAGTCTCAGTTGTGGGAGACATAAAGGGTATATTATATTAATATGGTGTGTTCGATTGGAATAGCTTAGATTATGTTTATTTTAAATAGTATTCAATGGTGATAACTAGTGTTATTGCTTACTGCTTATTTATATTACATATCTTGTTTGATTTGTGCGGAACCACTTTGTTCATTATTGTCGCGTCTTGATTAGTAATTACGAGAATCCGATGTTTTAACCTTGCGGTAAGCCGTGACGACAATGGGAGGTCAAGTTGATTGGTAAAGATCCGCTTACTTTTTTGCTGTTCATTTTCTATTTAGATTAATTGCGAGGTTCGCTATTGTTGTGGATTGCTTTCTTAATCCGCTTAGAAGACCTTCGAACTTAGAGAAAAATTCCTCTCATATTTTGATACTATGTTTTGAAACACCTCACTGTTGCTGGGTGTTTTTTTAACACTAACATATAAAATTTTCGACGCTGAACGCGGAATATGAACCTACCTTGGTTCCTATTCGTTACAAAAATACTTGTTCTGGATGGTAAACGGAACGATGAGGTTCCAAGTAAAAATTAAAAAAAACTTCAACTTCGCTAAAACTAATCAGCTGATGGTTAAACTATTTGAATTGATTATTCAGATCATTATGATGATCATTCTGATCAATTCAGAGAGTTTAACCATCCTTTTAGCAACTTAAATAACATTTGAAAAGCCATTTGAAAGCTGATTAGTTTACTTCTACGATGATCAGTGTTTCAGAAACCGGGCGTAAGTATGTAAATGACTTTCGCAGCATTAACATGCTTATTGCGTGTAAATATAACATAAAAAAGTCCTTTTGAACACTCCTCAAGTTACTTTATCGCGTGGCGTAATATTTTTCGCAACGCCAAAGCCGCCCCGCTTTGGCGTCGCTTTATAATTAACTTATTTCACGATCTCTCACCCACTTGCGCTATTTTGAATGCGAAGCGGCAATGTCCTTTCGTGGGTTGATGTGTCCGTGACGTCATTACGACGTCGTTGTCTTTTAACAACAACCTAGTTTAAACGTGGGAGAAGACAACTTTCTGACACAGGGATCCACGTCAAATGATATTGAAAACGGGTTTTTTTCTATCTAATTACGGGGTTTTTTTCTAATTAATATATTGACAAAATATTTTTTCAAACAATATAGTTAACATAAATATAATGTATATCGATGGAATATTTAGCAATAGTTATTTTTAGTACAATTAAGATCAGGTATGTGAGCTTTTATAGTTTTCCTCCGAATTAATCGAATGTTGACTTTGATTTTTAAAATCGTATTTATGTCGCAGCGTTATAATACTTTAATATACGGTCGTTTCCTTTGTCAGGGGTAGAAAGCGAAGTCTGGCGGGTGGCATAAAGAGTATCTAATACAAAATCTTCAGTATCCGAAATAAGACCGATGAAGAATAATAACTCCATGGTGACTTTGCGACGATCGATTGATTTTTTTTACTACCCAACCCCTTCCACATAAAATACATGAGTAAAAATTAGATGGATAGTTAGAAGGTACATTTCATGATATTTATCGCACGGCTGCTATCCCCGAATAAGAGTATCAACCGCAATAGAAGCCGATAACTTGACCTATCAAACTATATACTCCGTTTTATATGATTGCGATCGTGCGACTTTAGGGTTACAAGAGTGTCGGCAATGCCGCTTCTGATGTGGTTTCAAATACACTAACCACAGGTTAAGTAGAAGATGGGATAATTGGAGCAAAATTTGCATAGGAACATTTTCTACTAGAATTGACCGGACGGTCGCATCATCGTTTATTGGTTAAATTTAAAAATTTAAAAATTGCTAAAATTACCTCAATAGAGCCAATATAACTTTCTATTTACTAGCGACCCGTCCCGGCTTCGTGCGGGTAGCACTATTTATCCAAAAAAAACCTGTCGATCCAATCGCTAACACAGTTAAGGTTACCCATAATTTATGTTAGAAAATTTGGTCCAGCAGTTTTGGTGTAAATAAAGAAAGCCCCAACTTTTAACCGATGCACGGAAGCCGGACTTATCGAGAAATTTGGAAATTTGGCGTACGTCGTTAGTCTCTTTAGTTTGCCTTAGTTTGCTATAGCAAGGGCCGGCAACGCATTTGCGAGCCCTCGGGTGTAACAGGTGTTCATGGGCGGCGGTAATCAGTTACAACCCCCGCCTTTTTTCCATAAAAAAGAATGTCTATACCTGTCTGCTTAATTTTTAACCGACTTCAAAAAAGAAGGAGGTTTCTCAATTGGACCGTATATATTTTTATTTTTTTATGTGTGATATATTCGTATATATATGTGTGATATGTATATTAGATAGCTTCGACGTTTTTGAACCGATTTTGATGAAGGAGATATCCTAAGGGTGGTACCATGATAAGGAAACTCAGATCTGATGATGGCATCTCAAAGAAATCAAATGGTATAGGTATTAACAATGTTTTTTAATGTCCGGTTTGAAGTCACTTTTTTTTTGAAAATAATACCTGTCTTCAATCGACATCCGCCTCACGGTCCGCTCTTCGCCCCGCAGAAGCACGGCTCGCGCATGAAGTGCTCCGCGTGCAAGATCGTCGCGCACACCGCCTGCATCGACACCCTCATGGACAGGCTGCAGTTCGCGTGCAAGCCGACGTTCCGCGACGTGGGCGTGCGCCAGTACCGCGAGCAGACCCTCACGCACCACCATTGGGTGCACCGGCGCACCGAGAAGGGCAAGTGCAAAGCCTGCGGCAAGGTGAGGGGCAAGCCGGTTCGGACGCTCGCGTTGTAACGCTCGATTCGCACCGAGACGATGTTTTTTTTTTTTTTGATGATGTTTTGATGAACACAATCTAGCATGGTTACAAAAGGAATATACACAGGAGAAAGAACGATTGCATTCTATAGATAGCAAATACAATGAAACTCGATATAAAACATTAGGTACAAAGGTTTAACTACTGACTACTATTAAATGAGTAAAATCTATTAATTTTTTTGCAAAGAAATATACACAGGAGAAAAAACGGTTGCATTCTATAGATAGCAAATACAATGAAACTCAATATAAAACATTAGGTATAAAGGTTTAACTACTGACTACAATTAAATGAGTTAAATCTATTAATTCTTTATAAATTATATATAAAACCAAATATAACATTACACTTATTTAACTAAATTAATGAGTAAACTATTTATTACTTTAAAGATATTAAAGGACCGAAAACAACTTGGACATTTTCTTTTTCTTCTCATGATGTCAATCAAGATAAATTACAAACCCTGTTTGTCTGTGTAGCGCTTCAACTATTTCTGAGCAAATATATTTTTATCAACAAAAAACAAAATCGACTTCAAATATCAAGATTTTTTTACTTACTATAAGTTTCTATTTGACTTTGAGGAGTTCCATGGTGTCTCCCCGGTATCCCAGGTCCAATAACCATTGAAATTAATATGGCACTACATGGGTTGTAAAACATACCACCAATGTTTTAATAAAGATGACCACACTGCGCGGCGTTTAAAAATTGTTCTGCTCTACACACAATTTATTTACTTTACTCGTCATATATGTGAATGTGAGTCTATTGAATTGCAAGGTAATTACACCAATTTTCGTAATTTTAGTGCCTCGGTTTCGGTGCGCTAGTGTCATATTTACCTCTTATTTGTATATACAAGCGAGTGGAGAACCTCCCTTATTTTTTAAAGGCAGTTGATAAATCAATACATCATTCTCATCATCGCCATCATGCTAGTTCATTCTAAAATACTTATTCGCTTCCGCTCTTTTGGCCTACATCGTCTTGGAGTGAATTGAACCTTAATGTTGCACGTGTCGCGGTTTGAATTTGTTTCAGCGTCGTGTCGCTTTTTTTGATGGCTTTGCGACTTGTCGAGCCGTTTAATGTTTCAAATTTTCTTGATTGTTTGTTTTTACACTTTATGACTAATCACGTTAAATGTTTCCGCGCTGTTTATGCTAACACGTCGTCCTAAATTAACACGTGTAAATTCTGTAAACAAGTGTCTGCATTATGTTCATAACATTTGACTGTTTGCTGATTATCTGGCGTTATTTAATAAATTAGTGAGGTATAGTATAAGAATAATAAAAAACTTACCTGTATTTGAGGGACGACAGGAATTATTCCACTGTAGGAAGACTGGGTAAAAGGACAATGCTTTAATTTACTTTTAACTTTGAAGTCTTATTGCAAGTTCTTTAGAGCGTTGACTGTTTGGCAATCCTGGAACTTAAAGTTACAACGGTATAAATAATTCAGACGATTTGAATTAATAAATTTATACTGAGATACAACATTTCTCCCTTGTTGGGGCTTGTTTATGAGGTAGCTTTGATACAGCGATGCAATATACTTTCAGAATAGCTTCTCTAGCATACTGATAATCGTTATTTTAACAAAGTAAACCTTTTTTTAAAAAGCAAAATATTTGCGATAAATGACTTGCATTTTTAAAAGAAAATAATTTTGTCGATTTTTTCTTGATTAGTTTTGAAGTTTCAAATTTTTTAAGTATACCAAACGTCGGGAACGTAAATCGTGACTATAACTTTATTTATTTATTTATACCGTACGCATGTTCAAAGTTTAGATACTAATATTTTAAAGAACTAAGCATCTCGGGATTAATTTATTGTTACTACGTTTAAAACTATACATTATATAACATTTTTAAGTTAAAAAACAAAAAACCAATAGAATATATACAAGGGTATATATACATACTTTTCACAGGGATTTTTAAAGGGATAAGATAAAATTTCAATGATAAGTGCTACTTAAAATTGAACAGAGTAAAAACGATGACAATATCACAAATAGTTAAAAGAAACACCAATTCGATTCGAACAAAAAGGCAAAGCGAGTTATGTTAAAGGACGAAGATAAGTACACCTTGATACACCAAAATGGAAGACCTTTGACAAAACCGAAAGAGCCTAATTGATTTCATTACTGCCTTTTAAATGTCAATGCAACTGAGTAGGTTGTTTAAGTGGTGATCATACGCGGACATTTTTATTGGAACAGTCATCTTGTGTTTTTTTTTACAATTAACTAGTTCTCTTCGTATATACATATATAATGCAATGTAAGTACGTATGTATTAAATGTGTATAATTTGTAATACTTTGCTTGTCATTTTTGAAGTGAAACTTCTTTATCGGGGTTGGAAAAAAATTTAGTGTAACATTTTTGCGTTACGCGCCATCTTTTTCTTATCTTAAAATGTTCCTCTTCCTCTAGTGTTGAATAGGGGGTTTTATGTCGTCTTTATTCTTTAGTGGTTTTAATAGTTGACGCTAGATGGCGTTAGTTCCTTTTGTGTGTTCATAACAATATATATATATATATATATATATATATATATATATATATATATTATATTAAAGTGATCAGCAAAATCAAAGGCTTTATTTTAATTCTAATTCTAAAATGTAAACAATATATTTCGTATTTCAGTTACCATAACCCATTAATAACACAAATATATAATAACGACATCAATGATAGTAGTTCGGTTTTCCAAAAAAACTTCACTCACAACACTCGCGCGCGAGTCGAATGACTGCCTTCTACTCACTGGCTGACTATTCGGCAACGAAGGACCATGTACAAATTCAAAGCGGTTGTATTTTGGGTCCGTGAGGTTAATTGAAATAAGGTTCACGTTGCAAGTTTTTTAATCAACAATTTTTGCGGACCCTCATACTAATTACAACGGTCAAACCATAGTGTCTTTTAATTTACTACTAACGCCACCTATGTATTACAAATAAGAAACTAAATATTATACAAAGCTAAAATGAAATAATTGTAGAATTTGTATTTATGTCTATGATAATAAAAGCCTTTTATTAAACTTTATCTAATTTAACTTTATTTACCCAATTTCTGTAAAGTTGCATATAACAATTTTTCATCAATGAATTGTTTACTTCCTTCATAGCTCAAGTATTTACTTGATTGTACTTTTTATGTTTAACATTTGCTTCAAATCCGGCCCATATAAGATGATGATTTCGCAAATCCCTTTACGTATCATAACAACAACAAATAAGTTATAATGAACATACGTAAACAAGTTGAATGTTAAAGCAATAAGACTAAACAATATGCTACAACAATCCGGTTAGTCACGTTTGCTATCCGCATTTAAAAAGGTCAGAGATTGGGTATCAATAGCGCCCTTAAAGGTAGCTTTTAGTAAAATAAAACGGAAGTTCCCGTTGTGGATATGTCCTGGTAGTATAGAGTTGTAATATCCGGAGGACCGAGCTTTGCTCGTTTTTTTTTGGGTAAATCGTGTGTTTTGGAAATTACATTTAGATACAAATTACTGAGTAATGAAATATGCATAATATTTTTCGATCTTGCCGACGTAATAATAAGAAAATATGAACTGATGTTTTTCACTAAAGAAAGAACTTTAAAAAAAAGGGAAAAAAATAACAAATCGACAAAAAATTAAAAATAAAGAAAGCAATGATCTGGAATCGAAAAAAAAAGTAAAAAAATAAATGTGTAAATGATCGTGACACCAACCACGGCCTTCTGTTTCGGGGCCGCCCGATTACCGACCGAGCTATTATAACATTTTTTTTGCGGCGAAATTTACCGTCATATTCGAATGATCCTAGTCCCACTGCTGGACAAAGATCTCCTCTGTACAGAGAGTATCAGGGCATAGTCCACCACGCGACCCCACTGCGTATTGGCAGACTTTACATAGCTTTTAAATATTTGGAATTTATCATGTTACTTATTTTTTTAATTATTTTATTTCAAAAATATGCAGGTTTGCTCACGATATTTTTCTTCACCGCTGAACACGCGATTGAGCACTTAAAATTGGCACCGGGGCTTGAACTCAGATTGCTCGAGTATAGCGAATTAAAAGCGAGCACATTGACACTGAGTTAGAACGGCGTTAAGACAAATGCGTATATATAATTAGACAAAACTTATCGAAATAATATCGTAAACATACATAATAATATATAGAATTTACATTACATTCAATAAAGTTTTATCCATATATGTAGGTCAAGCTCTTAATGAGAACAACATTTTTGATTGTCTGATATATTATTATAAGTTTGACAAAAGAAAAAAGGCATCGTTACTCACAGCTGCGTAAATACAAGAAACTGTGGGCAAAAGTGTATTTATTAAAATGGGCGCATGCGTCGAAAAGAGAATCGAATCCGCAATTGAATTCTATGAATAAATTATATAGTGGAATAATATCGATCAGAAACGATTTGCTGGAAACATTTGTGGAATTCCCAAAAGCCCAAACCATATTTAATAATAAATCATTTCGTACGATTTTAATACACTGTGGCCAAATTGACGTTTGCGGTCGCCTTTAGTTTATTGTGAAATCATTTGCGTTAGCGTCGCATGTGTCACGACACGTCCCACGTACCTAGACCGGTACCGGTGCGAAATTAAAATTTCATTTTTAATGACATGTTAGCATATTGCACGCATAGGGCTTGCATACTTTACTTCGGTGCGAGTAAATAAGCTACCTGTTCGGAATATTTCTAGGTTTTTAACGTCTGCCCTTGTTCGTTTTTATGTATTTTTTTTTTTGCTTTTTCTACTGTGTACGTGCTTAAAACAGCTTGTGTAGCCTTCCTTTTTTAAATTTATTAATTCCAAGCCAGTCGCGCACAAAGAGTGAATTTATTATTCACTCTTTGAACACAATTAAGATACTTTTGGAATTTTGACCTTTTCTTTCCACAGGAACAAGTACTGAGCGCACATTTGATATATAATTTCTAAAATCTGTGAAAAAATGCTTTCTCCCGTGTCAGTAATAAATTTTAAAATAAAGTGAAGATGGGTAAAAAAAGAAAAATTATCCCAAATTATAGAAATTGCACATTTTATTTATTTTTAATTTACTTATTTGTTTTTTTTTTTGTTTAAATTTTTGCATGTTTGTTGCATGATTGTTCCATTGTCAGACATTCCGGCGCGGTTGCTGTGGGTGGTGCATAACAAAACAATCCTCTGTAGAGAAGGCTACGGAAGTAATCAATGATAACGCTGATCGTGTGCGTATAAGTATTATGTTGCCACCTACTGCAAACACACATTATTTTTTGCTTTGCTCATGTACCGATGTATTTTTTAATTGCGCTAATACTTACAACAAACACACACAAATACACACACAAGGAGCAGTACAAAGTCTTTTATAGCAATAACTGAGAGTTATTTTTCAGTCACTACAAGCAAAACTATCGTTCAGCTCTAAAGAAATCGTCGCGCTGAGCTGCTCATGGTGCAAAGAGGCTTATCACAACAAAGAAAGCTGCTTCAATCTTCAACGGATAGGAGAAGAATGCTCTTTAGGTAGGGATATAGTTCAATTACATTCTATTGTAAGATGTATACCGGCCAAACCCGATTTCAGGACAAACTAGTTTTGTCCAGGCCAAACTAGTTCTTCCTATACGCGATAGGATTAACTAGTTTAGCCTTCCTATACGCGATAGGATTAACTAGTTTAGCCTAGTACAAACTAATTTAGCCCAAGCCCGATAGGATAAACCAGTTTAAGCTAGTCCAAACTAATTTGTCCTAAGCCCGATAGGATAGACTAGTTTAGGCTAGGCCAAACTAGATGATCCTGATATAAATACGCACGCTCTAGGATAAACTGGAATGGCCTAATCTGAAAATTAATAATCATAATATAACAAATAATAAATGTTTTTAATAAAGCAATAACCATATCGTATCGCATAAGGATCGTGCAAAGTGGAAATTATATTTCTTTGTCTAGTTCTCTGGTTAAGAGGAGATACATATGTATATACGTATCTGTAGTTTGTATAAAATCACAAACGGAATTGCCTGACGAAAACTTGTATGTCAGGATCGCAATCGAACATCATCGTCCCGCCATCGTGGATCGTGAAACTGCCACGGAAAGGTAGTTTCAAATCGTCTTTGAGGAAATCGCCGAAGAAGAAAAACGCCTCCAAAAAAAAGACTAAAGATTCGAAAAACGAACACAAGCCGTTCGTTATAAAGCCAATACCCACTACGAACGTGAAACCAGTACTTGTGTTCATCAACCCGAAGAGCGGTGGCAACCAGGGTGTTAAGCTCTTGCAGAAGTTCCAATGGCTGCTCAATCCGCGGCAGGTCTTCGATCTCACTCAAGGAGGACCAGGGCCTGGGTAAATAAACCTTCTGTTTCCCCACCTTTATAATCCTTTTTTCATTATAAATAATGCTTATTGACTCTTCTTTAAAATGATTCTTGATTTATTGGTGATATTTGACGATTATTTGTTTAAAAATAAGCATAAGATAACGCATATTATCTTAACGGTGATAATTTTTCACTGAACCTCAACAAAACTATAATTCTTGTTATAATAAGAAATAGTTAACATTTTTGTTACTAACCAGCCCTTTGAATTTATCTCGTTAATTATACTTTAGTAATATGGTTGTCAGTTATGAAAGTGTGTTAAATTATACCTAAAACAACTATTATAGTTGTTTTAGGTATAATGTCTAATTACTATGAGTAAAAATAAAAATATGTTAGAAATACAGTTATAATTTTTCACTGTAGATAAAATTAAATTTAAAAGTTGACGCATTTAAAATGAGCAATATACCTACTTATCTTTGCATTTAAAGAGCGTATCTTCTTGAAGTTTTCAAAGAACGGAGAGTTTCTTCGGATATCCTTTTAGTCTTATGCTGACAAAAGTAAGAGTAAAAGCGATTAAGATCCACCGGAGCTAGATGCCGATACCGTTCCACTGCTAATAGAACCCACTCCGATTGTCCAACTAATGGGAATTGCAAGTCTATTTGTGCCATCCGTTAAGTGTCCCTGAGGCACTCTCAACATTAATCAAGTGCAATTGTCCGATACCAACGAACTCAGAAGGCGAGCTATTAATCTGAAAGTTTTAAAACAGTCGTTTACGCCCACAAGACGATAGTTCGATAGAGTTGGTATAGCTGCCTGACACCGTCAATGATAAATAAATCCAATGTGATTCATAAAATTCAAAATATTCTGAATGTAACCTTCAATAAAAATGCTATGGTATCCTTAACTATATTACATTTTATTTATAAAGCTGTGTGTCGTGGCACAATGGAAAATTAGTTAGTTAGGTTTGTATACTAGTGATTTTGAACCCACGTTATGTATATATGTGGTAACGGATTAAAGTCGCTTTTTAAATTTCCTTTGGTGCCAGTAAACGGGAATTTCCGCCCTTAATTTTATTTTAAACTATCCAGAATTGGTATCCATGACAGAGCACATGGTCACAGGACAGACTTCTAGCGTTGTATTCCAGTTTGGAGATGTTCCGCAAAGTGCCGAACTTGCGCGTGCTCGCGTGCGGCGGCGATGGAACCGTCGGATGGGTGCTGAGTGTGCTGGATCGAATCGGTTCGAAGCCGGCGGTAGGCGTTCTGCCACTTGGAACGGGCAACGACCTCGCGAGGGCGCTCGGTTGGGGCGGGGTAAGGTTACTTTTCAAAGCGAAGCCGGGTAACGACCAAGCAAACGGTTCACTTGATGGTAAATGGGCGTAACCTATGGATAGCTGCAACGCGGGTGGTGTTGCAACTACATTCGGGCCCCGTGGGAGGCTTGAGGCGACTGGACAAAAGTCGGCTAGGATATATTTGTTGTAGTATATAACTCGAACCTTTCTAGATATCCGTTCACCTCATCCAATGGATGTCAACGAAAGTAATGTAAGTGATTATAAGTGTTTTCAAAGCAGGAGTGAATAGACTGTTACTAAGAGAGTCGGTTTAAGATGACATCTTACTTTCCCTCAGGCGAGTTAGTAGTCCAGCACTAGCTGTTTTTTGGTTAAAAACAAAGTAGAAATGATTCTACTTCTAGTACGAACCGTTTTCCAATACATAATATTGTAATCTGTTCATTAATTAATAACAAAAAGTCTGGGTACTGATATACAATGATATTTGACCCATCTAAAAGGAATAGAGACACACACGCTCCAAAATGTTTATTTATTATGGCTTATAGACGTGATGTCGTACGCTTTACACAAGTATCGAGACAGCTGAGGTCTCGCATCTTAAAGGCCGGCGACGCCCACGTGAACCCCTGGTGTTATATCCGGTTAACCGCTTGCTCCTTCCCCACCGTCTGTTTGAAGTAAAAATCACGGAAGCAACACGTGCCATACAGCTGTTCCGCTATCCGAGACGAACGCAAACCGCAGGGCTACGAGGACGAGCCGATATCGAAGATTCTGGCGCACATCGGCGAGAGCGACACCGTGCTGCTGGACCGGTGGCAACTCACCGTCGAGCCGAACGGCGCTGCCTCCGGCGAGGACACCAGCAACGCCAAGCCCGAGCTGCCGCTCAACGTGGTCAACAACTACTTCTCGTTCGGCGTGGACGCCCACATCGCCCTCGAGTTCCACGAGGCCAGAGGTGACGTGCGCATACCAATCGGCTCGGCATTCGCTCCATTCGACTCGCTTGATTCGACATTAATTGTTTTGTATACAATGTTGTGTGAAAGTAATGATATTGTAATAGGATTCTGAAGAGCTTTATGTTGTAAATGAAAAGAGTAAAAATGGATGGACTTCTACTGTCTAAGTAGCAGTAAAAGCTAGCTCGATTTTTGCTAGAAATAGAAGACATATACTTAATGTAAAAGTGTTTTGCGTGAAGTCTATATCACGTTATTACAGACATTGATCATGCACTTTGTAACAACGGTATGCAAGTTATTGATAAAAAAATACAAAATTGTTTTAGATAAAAACATAATAGAAGTTTGAAAATTCTAAGTAAATTTTCTACATTATTATTTTTAAAAACAAGCAATCCGTAAATAAATTTAACCATTGATGCGTTATGTAACATGAAATAAATTGGAGAAAATTTCTGATCTAGAATTAATGCCTGTTTGCGTTAAATATTTTTTAGGTGAATTTGGACAAATAATTTTTTTTTCTTTTAGAGGCCCACCCCGAAAAGTTTAATTCTCGGATCAGGAACAAGCTGTTCTATGGCACCGCTGGTGGCAAAGACCTTATGCAGCGCAAGTGGAAGGGCCTTGCCGAGTTTGTGACCATGGAATGTGATGGAAAAGACCTAACACATGTGCTCCGGGAACACAAAGTACACGCAATTGTGTTCTTAAATATTCCAAGGTATATTATTAAACTATCATTATAAATGGGAAAAATAATCAAGTCCACCAATCCGCAGTGGGACCGCGTGATAGACTGTGCCCTGATACCGTCTGTACAGGCGGCCTTTGCCCAGCAATGGGAAAAGTAAAAAGTAATTGCCTTTACATTTCAAAGGCAATTACTTTTTACTTTACTTTCATAAATGAGAATAATTCTATGTCTGTATTCATTTTAATGAAATTTGAGAGAGAGATTAAAATACATGCTGGACCTAAGTTTTCCATTAAATATTACTGTTTTTGTGATATTTAATGGAAAATGAAAATGTTGAAAGTGATAGGCAATTGATAAATTGTAGCTACGGAGGCGGGACACATCCTTGGAACAAATCTGGAGGTGCCCATGAACCGTCTACGGAGGACGGTCTGATAGAAGTTGTTGGCCTAACAACTTATCAACTGGTAAGTAACTTGAAATTTATTGCTGCCTTACTCATAAATTGGATAAATGTTCTTGGGTCCCGGCTGTCGTGGTTGGAATAATTACAGAGCCTTTTTACCCTTATTACCGTTTTCATAGAAATTTCAAACTCTCTTGGATCACAAACCGTAAAGCGAGACGCTAATTATAAACGAATCACAAAAAAAATTAAATCAAAATTAAAATTCATTGTGAGTGCACGCCAAATAAGTTCGTACCAACGACTCAGCTCGCAGGTCTACTTGTTAGTGCTTACACAATTTCTCTTCCGCCTTGCATCGCGTCAGTTGTGCAAAAGTATTTTTCGTCATCTAATTTGGAAAAAAAAACCGCCAATTCGAAAGTCTCACGAGAGCGTTAGCGGTGACTATTTTTTTTTTTTTTTTTTTTTTATGGAGAAAAGGGGCAAACGAGCAGGAGGCTCACCTGATGGTATTGCAAACAACAACGAAAACACCATTCTGTATGGAAAAACCGGCCAAGTGCGAGTCGCGTCGGACTCGCCCACGAAGGGTTCCGTGCCGTTGTCTTTAAAAACGCCAAAAGAATCATGTCTGTTGTATGGGAGCCCCACTTAAATATTTTTTTATTCTGTTTTTTAGTATTGTTGTTATAGCGGCAACAGAAATACATCATCACGGATCGTGAGAGACAGCCTGGTGACAGACGGACAGACAGACAGTGGTGTCTTAATAATAGGGTCCTTTTCACCCCTTGGGTACGGATACCTAAAAAGGAGGATGGTTTTCTTTTCAGCCCTTATTGCAAGCAGGCGGTCACGGCACGTGCATAACACAGTGCAAAACCGCTAAGATCGTCACGACGAAGGTGATACCGATGCAAGTTGACGGCGAGGCATGTCGCTTGGCACCTTCAGTTATAACCCTCTCAATACTTAATCAGGCTATTATGCTTGCCAAACGAAAACCGGGGCGAGTTTTGGCGCCGTAAGTTCGCTTTCAGTTAAAAGGTCTTTACTTTTTTGGCAGTTGTGATTACACTAATAACACAGTTAATAGTTATACAACACATTTATATCGGCTTTGTTAACATTATTCTGACTCTGCAAGGATTTATTAAATAGATACATTTATTTAATAGTCTTACGCCCGGTCCCTCAAAGACTGATCAACGTAGAAATCTTTTGTAAAAATGTTTTTTTTTGTTAAACACTTTGATTTCAAATCAATTAGAAAAAAAAAAACAATTTGAAAGTATTTAACCATCGTTAACAGATTAGTTAATTTCTACGTTGATCCGTCTTTCAGAAACTGGGCGTTAATATAATAAATGTGCAATAAGAAGAAACCCTCATATTATAACTTTACAGTGAATTTATCGCTATTCTTAATTATGATTTATGTTAAAAAATTATTCATAACACACTTTCACCCAAAAATGCATTTTGAATATAATTTTGCACAAACGAACGTTTCATGAAAATGTTCTGAATAAGATCGTCATTTAAGTCTATAAGTTATAATGTAATTTCGAGAAATTGTATTCAATGAGCATTTGATTCACGTATGTAATAGTCTTAAATAATTAATATAATGTAATAAAATGAATGGCAAAGTATACCTTCATAATATGAACTAGCCGCATTCTATTTTTAAATACCTTTTCAGGCAAACAACTCTAGATAAATTGACACTCACTGTAAATCTCATAACAATGATCGATTACGAGAGGCATCACTACGACAAAGAATTGCTCGCAAATACAGGTAATAAATTCAAGAAGTTGTGTACTGAAAATGGACTCTGGAACTTCTAATGAGATACTGATGATATTTAAATGTACAGAAACGTTGAAATTAATTTCATTTTCTTTAATATTGAGTCTCCTTGTTAGGTTTCAGTTATGTGTTTCAAAGTAATATACAAATATATAATGAATATTGAACATGAATCTACCCTAAAAATCACGTAGTAATAAATTCAAGAAGTTGTGTACTGAAAATGGACTCTGGAATTTCTAATGAGATACTGATGATATTTAAATGTACAGAAACGTTAAAATTAATTTCATTTTCTTTAATATTGAGTCTCCTTGTTAGGTTTCAGTTATGTGTTTCAAAGTAATATACAAATATATAATGAATATTGAACATGAATCTACCCTAAAAATCACGTAGGTGGAGGTGGCAACATAATAGGCGTCTGTATGAAATTGAGCCGTTTTAATGGACTTTCATGAAAATTGGATCAACTTCGTAATTGGTTTTTATATCTTACCTCACTGGTCAAATTACTACATGTTAGTTTGAGCCTTAGTACATTGCAATAGGCACTAAAGTTTACAATATTTTTCAGCGGAGCGTATCGGGACCTTAGAAGTGAATCCATCGGCTGACTTGGAACAAATGAGGACTCTCATTCAGAATTTGATCAAAGAATCTCAAGCGTACTCAAACATTGTAGATTGGTGGTTTGTTGACTGTGAGTTCTCCCGACATTTTGTAGACAAGTAGAACATTAACCTTGAGGCATTACATGACTATTTGCCTCCTCTAATATCACGCGGTTCATTAGTGTTTGCTGCTTAATATATTATTAATATTGTTCCGAGCGCTTCATGAGCAGTGATTGCCCACAAGTCTTAGTGGTAATTCAGTCACTCGTATAGAGTAATTAGAAAATTTCGCCTAAATAATGATAGCAATTCAAATTCAAATGTCTTTATTCAATATAGAAGCATTAGACTGGCTTATTGATTGTCAAAACGCTGTCACCGTAATTAAAAATACAAAAAGCTTTTTTTTTTTACAAACTGCTATATAAAAGACGTGACGACGTCCGATCTATTGAGATATTAAAACTATTGAAAGAAAGAAAGAAAGAAAATCCATTTATTTACCAAAAAAAAGGACGCACATAATAAAAGAGGAAAAAAAAACTAAAATTAACAAAAAATAAAAGAAATAAAAAAAATACTTATAAATATCATCTTTATACAGTCGCCCAGAGCTTTGGTTCCGACTTAAACGTAACAGTTATTCATGCTATTGCAGTCTCGTGACTTGTGTATTATTAATAAAAAAAAAAAAAAAAAAAATTGTAGCGGTGACAGCGGAACGCTTCTTCCGCATCGACAAAGCCCAAGAGAACCTCCACTTCGCGACGGACATCGGCCACGAGAACATATACATACTGGACGCGGCGCCGCAGACGCCCGACACGGAGACAACGGCGCATCCGGACACGACGGCCACGCCGTCCTTCGACCGCACCGGGCCGTCCGTCTCCCTCGACACCACAACGGGGCCCTCCGTGTCGCTGGACATATCGCAGAGCGTCGACACGCCCAGCGCCGGTGTATCTCTGGACGTGCCCGAATCCCACGCGAGGTATGAGTCGACAACTTTTATAACTTGTATACTTTACGGTGTTGGCTGTTGCACGAACGGGCAGGCTCGTCCGGGTAAGTACTACGGCCTCACAGAAGACCGGCGTAAAATGGAAGTATGACAAATACTTTCGCGTTTCGTCTGGTGAGTGAGGTAGCCGGAGCCCTAGTGCCAAAAGTTTGTCAACGCATCTGTAACCCTCGGGTGGGACAGGTGTCCATGGGCGGCGGTATTCACTCAACATCAGGTGAACCGTCTGCTCGTTTGACAACATTTCGCATAAAAAACAACAAACATATACAGGGTGGCTTTTCTAAGTGTATCCATTTTTTTATTAAATTCCAGACATAAATAATGTTATATAAAAATGATAAGGATTTAGAATCACTCTTAAATAATTAATTACATTAATTTGAACTTATCTCAAAAAGTGCGTGATTTATACGCAACTTTTTGAGCAACACACAACAACAACGCGATCATTCATAACTAACACGCACTAAAGTTCGTGCTCAGTAAAATTTAGGTATTTATGAATGACTACCGCATTGTCAACACGTTCTATTTTTTAGAGAATAGAATGGCATTTTTTTTTGGAAAACGAACTTTGTTTTTTATTTCAATAAACGATTATATTACCGAATGTGAACCTCCTTTATTTGGGCACTTCTCAAAAAATCTCCATGTTTAATCAAACAACTTACAATTCTGTACCTCAGAGGCATAAAATAATAACTCCATATTTTTCAAAATTATTTCTCTTACACCATTCAAATCGCTCGAACAAATTCTACACAATGGTATAAAAACATTAAGTCCTTCGACGGCTAATTAATAAAATATCCAATCGTATATAACATCCATCCATCAGAATCAATGGTGCATTCAAGGAAATACTCACGCATTTTTGCCTCCCCTGTAAAATTTGCGTTTTGTCACATGATGCTGTTTACCTCTGAGGTACAGAATTGCGAATTGATTTTTATGTCATTCTGTTCATTTGTCGTCAAGCGAGTCCGGCATGGGGGGCTCGGCTAGGACGTCGGACGATCCCCAAACACCACAAACGCCGCCCTCCGCAGCCGCAACCGCGCCGTCGTCACCAGCACTCGCAGCTCCCAAGATATCTGTATCCTCGTCCCTCAAAGCACCCGTTTCGAGGTCCGTCACTACCAAGACGTCCTCGCAGGATCCCATCTCCCCGCCATTATGCACCAGTCCACCGGCGAAAGGAACAGACTCGTCTCACGAATCGGTCGCGAGGTTTAAAACGTGAGTGAATTTTGACTACGTTCCCTTGGCATTTAGCAACGAAGATATAACCTTCTCTCGCGGTTTTATTTTTAAGGAAATGTACAGGGGTCTTATTTTTTATTGTTTGCAATTAGCTATAGACGAGACATTAAACTCATAGCGTTATTTGCAGTATGATGCACGGATTCCAACTCTTCACGAAAAGTGTGTAAGTGATGGCCACCATAATACTACACTGTGCTAAGGACTGGCTGTGCACAATCTCTGTTACTTCTCTAATCTCTTCTGTTCGTACTCAATGTACATGCAAACTCTATTTTAGATGAAAACAAGTAGTTATAGCTGATCACGAGAATATTCACCGCAAACGTAATCACGGTTACGTTTCTTTAAATTTCTACTCGGCATGGAAGCGGCGCATGTATGCCCACTGGAAAATTAGTCTTAACGTAGTCGCTTTTAATTGAATTTTGTAAAACTTAGTAACTCCGCGTTGGGCGTTGCGCCACGTGAAAATTTAACAACTTTAAAGCTTACCTTACAGTACATTGTTCGTAGCGCCGTTTCCATGCCGGCACTACTGAAAATTTCTAACACAAGATTCGTAGAAGTTTTTCGAACGATTGATAACAGTAAATCTTTTCTGTGGAATAGCTGCACGTATAGCTGGAGAACACTGGACTATCTTTAGTAATGAAAAAAGGGATTGTTATTTTATATATTTATATTTATTTCGTTTTGTTTATCGTACTTTAGACCTGAGTGTAGACGTAGTGAGTTAGAATTGTCAAGCTTCTGATATGTATCTAGGGACGCTAAGCTCACTCGTTTGGACTTGATATTTGCACTCTATCTATCCTTTCTTCTATTGCATGCAGCATACACGAAAAACTGTTTGGACTTGATCAGGAAGTGTTTGGCTATAGGTGAGGTGATGCTTAATTTTCGGTATGGTAGCGTGACAGAAAATATTGAAATAACGGCTAAGTTTTATATTAAATGTAAGTTGAACAAGACGTTAATGGAATTTATTAATAAAGAAAATCTCAGTAAATACAATTGTTTATCAAAGTATCAATCATTAAGATTTACCGGGTATCCCGATACCTTCTAATAAACAAATAGAAAAATATACGTTTTATTTATTTTTTACCTTTACATCAGATCATAACGTCGCGAATACAGCGTTGAACTTGTTTCAGAAATTTATTGGAGAAAACCTCCGACTCACTGCTTAAAGCCGCTAAGGTGGGCGACTTGAAAATGGTAAGCCACCTCCCCTGGTGATCTTAGCGATTGTGCGACAGGGAAATCACGCGCTGGTCCTCTGCTCAGGTGAAGGAGCTCCACGCGGCCGGCTACTCGCTCCTCTCGATCGACGCCACCGGTCAGACGGCGTTGCACATCGCGGCGAGGTACGGGAACAGGGAGATAGTGAAATACCTAATAGCGTGCGCGCCGAGCTCGATCCTGAACATGCGCGACAACGAGCGCGGCCAGACGGCCCTCCACAAGGCGGCGGCGCACAAAAGGCGGGCGATATGCTGCATGCTCGTCGCCGGCGGGGCTTCCCTCACGCGGCAAGACAACGCAGGCCTAACGCCGAGGCAACTCGCGCTCAGAGCGGAGGACCACGATTTGGCGGCCTACTTGGAGAGTGAGTGCTCATATTGCTTTTTGACATTTTTTTTTTTTTTTTCAAGAAATACATGTTCTCATCGTGGCAATGGCGAATTGATTGGTTAGGTTAGTCATTCCGATCATTAAGTACATTCTGATCGATTCAGAGAGTTTCAATCCTTATGGCAAATCAAATAGCATTTGAAAATCTATTTGAAAGCTGATTAGTTCAGTTGTACGATGATCAGTGCTTCGGAAACCGATCGTTTGTCTACCTCAGTGAGCATCATCTGATCGGAGCGTAGTCAAGAGAATTATGACGAACCCAAGGAACAATTCCTCCTTTTTGTTGTATAGCACAACTGAAAACGCATTCGTTTTGTTGGAGCTGGCGTTTGTATTATCGGTATTAAAAACCACCGGGTTCTCATCCTCCTATAAGGCACATTACCTAAAACTTATTCATTTTTAGCGTGTGACCAACACAGGTATCTTATTGGTAATATCTTTCGTTTTATAGATTTCTTACCAGATATGATGGAGGATAACATAAGATGACAAAATTTTGCGAAGACAGAAAAGTATTTCCCAAATTCGGCCTTCGATGATAATGACTATGATTTATCATTTTTTGAAGATGAAATACAACAAAATTGATGCTGTTAAAGCTTATTTTATGGTTAATTTTATTTTTTATTGCTGGTGTCAAGATAAAAGTCCCCCAAAATAAAACTTATAGTATTTGCATTAAACGATGACAAAATAAATTGAACAAAAGTAACCTAAGTAAAATAATTAGAAAATATCATCACTAATTTCGTATTTTATTCCAGGTCAGGAACATTTTCAACTAGTGTCAGAAGACTTGGAAACGGCTGTTTGAAAATTACATGGGGCGGCCCACAAACAGTTCCGTATTGCAACTACGTGTAGCGGCAAATCGAGATTTGATAGCAAGGAGCAAGCGGGCAAAGTAAAAGAATTTGCATATTAACTAAATTTTAAGACACCGTATTTTAAAGTGTTAATATTCTCATACTCTAACACCAAAGTGATATTTAAAAATGTTTTGATCTTTAATTGCTATTATTATCGTGTCATATAGCAAAACATCAAGGAATTCTTAAACACTAAGGAATTGCTACCACGATACTATTCAATTTAAAATTTATGAAATCTGTAGGTTATATTGAAGTAATTTATCTCAATCTTTAGATATAAACTTTGTAATGAATAAGTGATTGGATGAAATCTTTTGATTTAATTTTCGAAATAGCTTTTCAAAAGTCAATATCTTTAATTAGAGATACGTTAGGTTAAGATATTTATAAACCAAAATATTTAAAATATACTGTTCAAATTGTATTAACGAAAGCTGTTCGTCTAACCCGCCGCATTCTTCATTTAAATATAATTCTTCATTTAAATTTTAATATATCTCTTTGAAAAAGCAGCCCCGGCATCAAAAGTTTTTACTTAAATTGATTATTTTCCTTTTGATTCCTCAAAAGGAAAATTCAATTCAATCATTTTCTAATCTCTACCTCTGAAATAAATTATTACCTACTTCTCTGTTTTCTTATTTATTATTTACGTGGTGGTCTTTTCAAGTGCTGTTTAAAATTTAAAAAGAATCAAAGATTCGTAATGTTTTTTTCGAATTTTAAGAAATAAGATTTGTCAATATTGTCTCGCTTTCCTAAATTGTAGAAGGTTGTATAGTGATATGTTTGAGTAATCTTTAAGCAATCTCTATTCGTGGTAGGGACCACTTTTTGTGCAATCTATTTACGTTTGGTTCACGACTTTGGTGTTGTAAAATTAATTTATATATTCTGTTTTTTTTTTATTTAAAAATAATACTTCGCGCCTTATTTAACTGTCGACGAGGTACTTCACAAAATTTTGGATTATTCTTTTTGAGTTTATTTAGTGATTTAATCCGTTTGAGGCGAGTGTGATCCGCGGGTGTAACCCCCTGACACAAAAAACTCAAATTATAATTAAGAACAATTTCGAATCTTTCAAAGAAATACCGCACCATATAATCGGTCCATTCTTTTAGAAGTTACGATGCTACAGACAGACACACATATACATAAACAAAGACGTCAAACTTATAACACCCCTCTTTTTACGTCGGGTTAAAAACTAGTGTGAGTATTAGAGTTTTAATGGCGACCTTGGTTTATGTAATACGATCTCAAACCCCATTAATAGAAATACATTTCTTCATATATTATTATGTTCAGTAATGAAAAGCTTAAAAGTGATTTCCAATTGACATCAGTCTCAATTATTTCTGTTTTCTCGAATAATTCATTCACTTCTTGAATCGAAATTCATTCACTTCCTTGTTTTAATTTTCACACCTTTGCACATCTAAATAAGAGTTATTACAGATAAGGTTTGACTTATTTTGTGTAAATGAAACGTCAAACGCTGTCCATCGTGTCGACTGTAACGAAAATACCTCTACTTTTAGATGTACCTAATAGTTTTAGTGTTTAACGAATTTACTCGTACTACTCGCTGATAAGCGAACAATGAAAGACAAAGCTGTGAGAAATTTGGTCATAGTGTAAAAAGTAAGTTCATTAAATTAATAAGCGCCATTTGTGTATGCACTTGCCTTAAAGCTGTTTCGTAAACTTCAGTGTGTAGCTAGGTATCTCGAACTTTCAATGGTCCAGAATGTATGTCGTGTTCAAGTGATTTTACCTTGTCATTTTTTAATTCGATTCTTAAGTACAATTTATTATTCATTTCATCTGTAAAATAGAATTTTCGATTTATTTTAAAAAAAATGGTTTTGTTATGATTTTCGTATATTGTAGAGAGGTAGTGTGCACCGACCAACGAAATCTCGAGATGAAATCGTATTACTTACTTTGTGTTTTGGCAACGAATTTACTGTCGCTATCTATCATCCTTCGACCATTTCAAAACCAGCATAATCTTTGTTAAAGCTATTTTTGATGACTGTTATTATGAATAAATAAGATTGCATTACAACCGTTTATGTTGAAACGATTCGAACCAAAAGCTACATACTTTTACCCGTCTATGTTCAAATGTTTCTCAACAAAGCTATATAGTTTTTAGAAATATACGCAAGTCCACGCCCAATCCTTTTTTAAATTTCGAGACTTCAATGAATATGAGAATGTGTGTATTAGTTAGTGACACACGTACAAATGTGCAGTCTCTTGCCAGACAGTTCGCTTTATTGAGAAGCCATATTGAAATGCAATGCTTCTTCTCTCATTAAATGTATCACTTTATAATTAATACACTTAGTTCTTCATGATTAGCATAACATTAATGTATACAATGTACTTAAGCCAATTTGAATCTAATGATCCCTAAACACTAGTGATACTTTCCTATTAGATGTTACTATTCCTTGTACATATTGTAATGGAGGCCTTCATTTGTGTGTACTGTATTAATGAAATACGTCTTATATACGAGTAATTTTAGGTCCTTAGCATACTTCGCGACCAAATTCTACTTTGATATAATATTTTATAGCGATCGTTTATCACTTGAAATATATATGCTAAACATTAATTCCCAATACAGGTCTACATCGTGACTCATGTACAATCAAAACGATGTTTTCGAATGGGAATTGCTATGAGTTAATAATGTGCCTCACAGTTAAAACCTAGAGTGCAGTAACATAATCTCTGCACTAGAGACTTAGAAACGACGAGTTTCTATAGTTACAAAATGATATATTCATAGCTGAACTCCAATCAAAACTTATCGGTCTGAGAAAGTGGACAAGTTGAATCGCCTACAAGAAACATTTCTCTTGCGGAGCTAGCCTAGGAAGAAAATCATTTATCCAGGCGTAAATAAGCTAGCTACCTGTAAGCGAATATTTCGGAAATTTCATACACTTTTCTAAACTCTGACGTATTACAAACCTAGAATTATGAAGACAGATAGTGAAAGGGTGTCTGACTTTTTTATTTCTCTTCTGGGTTGGCCAACTTTAGCTGAAATAAATCTAAATTGCTGAATTCCCGCAGATGCAACGTTGCAACGTTTGGTTTGGTTTATTTCGATTAATCTTTTTTTTAGAATAATAATTTATTTGGGCAGAAATTTCAGCATGAAAACTTCAGTGAACCGATATATTTACAACCTGGAATTAGGGGATATAAACGTTTCTTGTATAGCACTAAAAAAATGTCCCTTTGTAATTTTAGTAAAGTAAAATATACAACAAACGTATACAACGTTCAACTATTTCAGTTAACCTATTAAAAATGTGAATGCTGTATTTTATTTCGCATATCCAAATGCTTCGAAATCATTACATTTTGTACTAAATTTCCTCTGTGTCGTTTATAAAAACAGTAATCAAATGTCGTTTGCGTTTGTCATTCGGTAGCGTTTGATTTATTTCGTTTGGCCGTTTTATTCTTGTTGTAACCTCCTCCTTTGGAGTCGGTTAAAAAGCGTACACTCGTGTATATTATATGAACAATATTAATTTCTTCGTGAAATCTAGCTGAGGAAATTTATCGAGTGCTGTTCGAAATGTGTTGTATGGGAAATACGGGTTAACTGGGGCAGTGCCCAGAAAACGCAGGTTTGTTCCCCACAGCACCGATAATTTTTGTCCATTTATCTACAAAAAATCACATTTTGATTTTCATCTTGAGTGTAGAGAATACCATGAAAAATAAACATTAACCCTAGAGTACACAATAAAAATATCTATAATGTAATAAAATTATAATAAAATTAAAAAATATATTATAAAACTTAAACCAGCATTATGAGGTATTCGACTTCGATTGGATTAACCACGACTTTCAACCCAAGGACTAGAAATCCAAAAAATAAAAGAAAATTAAAAAAATCCAGATCTATTAGGTTTTAACTGTGACGCACTTATTTTTACAAAGCTTTCCTTTCTAATTGTACATCTACTAAACCTGTACTTATATTTCTTTTTTTTTAAATAATGTATACAATATGTCCGTAATTTAATTTTTCAGCACATTCCATTTAAATGTTATCACACGAAAGAAATACATCCTGTCAGACAGTTTATATATACAGTAAATCGTTCCCCGAACTCGACTTAAAATAAATCTTGGTATTAAAATATCCGTTCCCGTTACTTAATTATTATTAGAAATATACATTTTTTTTGTTCTATAACTAGTTTTCAAAACTTGAAGGAAAATCAGTCAACAGTAGAGCATTCCAATCGTTTTAAATGTTAAAAGATTATAAATTACGTAATAATTTCACCGCATTGTTACTTTAATAAGATTATTATGTAAAGTTATGACACGATACATTTAACGAATTGAAATTACGCTACTAAGGTATTTGTATAACTTAAGATATAGAAAACTTATGATTTACGAGTGATCAAGTTTAACTGTTGTTTGTTAATTTATTGAAAATAGTTGTTGTTTTGAATGTAATTATAAGTTTGTGTTATTAAAAAAATGTTAAACATTTTTAAATTGGTGAAATTATAAAATATGATTAAGGTCAAAAAATTCTGTGTTCTCTTTCGCACTATTGAGTAAAATAGGTTCTATTTCTTATAAAACCATTGTAATAATTTAAACTACTTATTTCAAGTGTTTCTGTATCCATTTGGAGTAAATTAATGTAAACCAGTGTTGTTACCAAATTACCACTATTTTTCCGGCGGCTACATGATATTTCAAGTGTTTTATTTGATGTTATACGCACTCAAACGGGTGTAAAATTAAATCTTGAAACTTTCTTATGATAAATGAGAACTTAATCGTTTTGTAATGAATAGTTCGATCGGTACCTTTGGGATCTCGACATTTTCTATGATAGAAATTTAAAAATTGACTTAATATTTATATTTAC